TTGTGGGAAAATTCTACTACCAGTCCTTCATCACCTTAGACGAAATAGGGTGAATACATCTCATTATATTCATATAAGCGTGGAATAAACTAAATTACCAGTTTCATTAGCGCCTTAAAGGAAACTTTACATATAAATGACCTACTTATACATGAAACGGAAGTTGATCCGTTTAAAAAATGATTTGGTTGAAGGTGGCAAATTGAAGTGATGCTGGAAAACGTTTTTTCATGAGACGCCTCAAGGGAGTTATGGTTCAATAGTGAGGCCTACACTTAGAGGGTCTCAGTTAAGAGTTTCACTAAGAGTGATTAGCCGTTTTATTGAAATAAAAACAAATGTTAGAAGATGGCCCAATGAGAAAAAAAGCCAAATACTAAATGAAGAAAAGATGGGTCTTGAAAAATCCCTTAATTATTTAGTGCAACTCAAACTTCCATTTTGAGAGGAAAATTGGCAGGAAGGTATTGGTGAGATAAGCTCACCGGAAACCGAGTAAGAATAAGTGCTTTTGAGCGGAGATTTCTGGGTTGCTTGAAGAAGTCATCGGCTCTCTTGTCTAGACGACCATGATGCCTTCTTGTAGAGTTTTTCCATTTCTGTAAATGACAGATTTTGTCATTAAATAAAATATTCTGTGTAATTGTGTTAATCTTTGGTAAATGATCATTTCTAGCTCTTACGATGTCTGTGCGGGAGGGCAGACGAGAGCTCAGCCTGGATAGGACAGTGAGCCGAGTCAAAAGTCTCCACTCAAAAGCATTCATCTCGCCCGAGTTCCAACAAGGCCAATTCACGAATACCTACCAGCCAACTTCTTCCTTCAGATAAAATGATGACTCGCTGTAAGGTATTAAAGGATTCTTCAAAATACTCATTTTTTAATTTATAATTTACCTATTTTCTTTATCCTCGTTTGCAGAACGGTTGCATAACACCTGGTAAAGCTGTCAAGTGAAACGCCCTAAGCTGATGTGTCACTATGGAACCAGAACTTTCTTTA